CATTAGCCATTCTACAAGTAATAGACGAGGTATTATATTTTCAACGCAGCATAGATATATATGTAGCACAACATGTAGTACGCTTTATATTTATATAAACTGCCAACATTACACATTTTTATTTATTTATTTTACAATTCCTATCACATTAGTCAGAATATGTTGGTGTCCCATCCTTGTGGTAAACAAAAGCAAAAGTCAACAAAAAGGGGATTAGAACACATCAAGATCAGCACCCAAAAGATTTTCTACTATCCAGATCTAGAGTGATGGGTCAGATGGGCCGAAAAACCAAGGGAAATAGTGCTGCATAAAAAGTTCAAACTCCCAACCCAACTGGACTACACCAAAACACATCCATGCTACCTGGACCGTGAAAATGGGGATAGACTGTATATGACTCACAAATACTCGGTCGACAATCCAAACAGGTGTCTCAACATATGAAAGGTCATTTTCGAAGTCAACACTTTGCATATTAATGATCTCTAGTGGATTTGGGACTGTGGTGAAAATGTAATCCTCGGGGTACACGTTCCCCCTTCTGGCTGCAAACTCTGGGGGTAGAGGGCCTATAATATAATGCGGGCGGTCATGACCCGGGGCGACGCCAGGGACGCGAGATGGTCCGAGAAAACGTCTGCGTGTATGGACAAGGCTGTGCCTCCATAATAGGTGTAGAACGTCGGTAAGGTCAACCTGGATATAAATTGGCCGTCCCATCAACCGGCCAAGACCTGGGTGTAATTCCCTGCCTATCTCCTCAGAATCTCCCCAACCCTCAGGTAAGGCGGGGGCAGGGTGTTCGGCTAAAATTTCATCTAAGTTGATGGCCTGGAGGTCATTCCAAAAAGCATCATCAAAGTAAATCTTTGACATCCTACAATACCAGAATAAACGTGAGATTTTACACAATAAAACTAGCGTCATATGTAATTATTTATTATTATTTTATTTTGATTTACCACATATATTTATATATATATATATATCTTTTTTTGTGAACCGTTGCTCTGATACCACCTTTGTCACGACCCAACCCCATGGGTTTAGAGTTGGAATCGTGACTTACTAACTTATTCTTATTCGAAGCAAATTCAGTTGCGCAAGTGAAAATAAAAATAATTAAACAGAAATTTTACTACATTTTACTATTTAAAAAAAAGAAATACATTTCTAGGGCTTTCGTTATTTTCTTATTCAGTGACCAGCCCCGAATAACGACAAAAGGAAGCAAAAATATAAAAAAGAGAAAGGTAAAATAGTGATTCATCATCAGTCCATATGCAAGTTCCATTTTGTAGGGCTATGGATTTCCCTTATATCTCGTCACCTGAAAGGATAACAGCTATAAGCACACAGCAGAGTGAGAAATATTATGCCAAGAGAGTAGGGAAATACAAAACAACTAGGGATAATTAGTTAGGTTAAAATATTTGCATATTTTAATTTAAAATGACAATTTATTTAAAGTGGCAGAATACAGAAATCATGTAAATAAATAATCATAACCACGGTATAAAACAGAACAGAATAGAGGTCACAGAAGTGACAGTCAGAACAGAGGTCAATGGATTCATGACAAACAGAGGACCACAAAGTGGTCAAACAGGGGCCAGTGGTTATTTAAGTCCCCCAAGGCGTGGGACTCTCGTGGTGATACTTACAAAACATAATTGTTTATAAGGTTATAGTCAAATATATACTAAAATTTAAACAAACATATTCATGGATTTCTTTTTTAAGTAAATAGAGTTTAGAAGTAACCCACGTAACTGAAATATTTATAAATATAACTTTTATTTATATAACTTAATAAATATAACTTGTATAAAATAAGCTACGGTAACTCAAAACATTCGTAAAACATATGATGGTAAAGCAAGGTATAATATAACTCACCTTAATTATAACCCTTAGCCTTACTTACTACCAAAAACTTCCCTACTATCAACTCCTCACTCTCACTTACGTCTCTCTCTCTCTCGGCTTCCCCTCTTTATTCTTACGTTTCTTCATTAGTTCATCACCTTGCTCCTATTTATACTGTGAGCCGAGCTTCAATGGAGTGCCACGTATCCCCTCCTCAGGAGGTTATAATAAGACTAGAAGGTGAGCTCTTAATTGTAGATTTAAGATAAGATTGAATCTGATAGAGATAAATATTTAGACTTGGGCCTTTTTCCTCTTTTTCCTTTTTCTTTTGGGCCAAAATCCATAAGCTGCTGCTGGGCTAACAAATTCTCATTTCCCTTTTCTTTTTATTCATTTATTTATTTGTTTTAATGTTAAGCTTTTTCAATGTTCCTAATTTAAATTAAATTACATCTCATTTTATTATTATTATTATTTATTGTTTTATCGTTATAAAATTAATTATTTATTTATTATTTGTAGTTTGACCCAACTAGTATTATAATTCCATAATGTGTTAATTTGTCCCTAATAATAATAATAATTCCTAATTAATCCTATATTTGATAACCCAAGCCAAATTAAATTTATATATTCATTTATTTAATAGTCTATCATCACATACAACCATAATTATATATAACTCTAAATATTTATGTAGTATTTAATTAAACATTTTGGGTGTCACAACACTGATTTGAATTCTTTTTTTTTCCTTCTTTTTTATTTTGCACCAAGAAAATTAATTTTTTTAGATTAATTGGTGAAAATTTTATTTTTTTGGAAAATTAGTCTAAAGTCTCTGTTTTATTTTTAGTAACAGAAGAAATTCACAAAATTATTTTACGATGTCTAGGGTCACTCAACTCCAAAAAAAATTATAGGCTCCGTTTGGTAAGCCTCTCAAATTAGTTTCACCCATTGATTTGAGTGTAGTGTTTGTTTTGAACTTTCAAATCATAATTCTATACTCATTTCTTAAAACTCAATTCAAAACATAATCATTAATTTTCAAAACTCCTAACCAAACACATAATTCAAAACTCTTTTCAAAAACTCAATCCAAATCAATATTTTAATTTTCTAAATATTTTTAAAATATTTTAATTTTGTTAAGATTTTAAATATTTTAATATTTTATATCACCTTCTAACCCAAAACAAAGACGAAAGAAAATTACTCCCTCCGTCCCATAATATTAGTCCCTTATTCCATTTTTCATTGTCCCAAAATATTAGTCCCTCTTCAAAAATCAAGTACAAAAATAATATAAATTTCCCATTTTGCCCTTCTTTTAAATTCATAAATAATATAAAAAGTACAATTATGACATTGATATTCTCAAAAAAGTGTACTATCAAAGGGTAATTTTGGAAAACTAACTTTTTAAAAGTACAATAATTGTACTACCAAAAAAAGTTGGATTCCCCAAAAGGGACCATTATTTTGGGACGGAGGGAGTATTTATTTTGAAAAACATTTACTTCCTTTGTAGTATTTTCAATTAAAAATTTGATTAATGTTATTTTCTGTTAATAATAAAATTTTTTAATTGAATTTTAAAAAGAGTTTGGTTATGAGTGTTGATCAGAATTTTCAGTAGTATGAAAATAATATGTTTTGTTATGAGTTATAACAATTTGAATTAAGTTTTGAAAACTCTTTCCAAAACTTATAACTAACAAATTTTCTTACTTCACATGTCAAATCAAACTTTCAAAACTCAATTCCACGCTCTAATTCGAAATTCAATTCAATACTTTATTCAAAAATTATAACCAAACAAATTTTTTACACTCAAATCATAATTTCAAAACACACAAACTCAAAATACAACTCATATTCTCAAATCATAGTTAGAAAGTCTGACTAAACAGAGCCATAATTCTTTTAGATTAATTGGTGAAAAGTTTATTTTTTGGAAAAATTAGTCTAAAGTCTCTGTTCTATTTTTAGTAACAGAAGAAATTCACAAAATTATTTTACGATGTCTAGGGTCACTCAACTCTACACACATATATCACAGAGAAATTTGACTCTTTTAAGCACAAAACTTGATACAAAACAAATCACAAAAAATGCGAAGTTCTTGTTTTCGATCATCGAGATCACTCCACTATTAACGCCACTCAATCCTCCTCCCCTTAGAGTTGTATTTCCACTCGTCGGACTCAGCGCCAGAAACTCAGCGCAGAGTTGTACTGTTACTCTATGAAGTCTTCACCAAAATCCAAAGTTGCCTTAGCATTCAGATTCGTCGGCTGGAACTCATGCTTGTTCGCAAAAGTCATTTGTGATAAAGCCGCCGACCTGCCAAACCTTATTTGTTGACAAGCTATTTGCAGACAATGTGAGAGTCGCAACGATTTTCATCGTTCCACCGGAGTACTCAGCGTTCTTTTTGGGGACTTCGAAGGTGATCTTCGATTGGACAATGGAGCTGTAGGAGTTGATATTGTATGTGTTGACTGACATTGAGCCGTTGGATTGCTTGTGGGCAACGAAAGCTTGTGCGCCAGCCATGCCGGTTCCAGTGGGGCTGAGGGCTCAAGCAATCCAACCATCAGGTTTGGGCAGAGGAACGATGAAGGCAATGAAGAGAAAGGAAGGTCCAGTAGAAGTAGACGCTCAAAGAAGGTAGGTCTCTAGTTTGTTCAAATTTCTCTGGGTGGTTATTGTTTAAATGTCTTACAATTCATAGAAAATTGATTAAAATGAAAATGGTGGTTGTTCAATTTTCTTTTGTTTGATAAAAAATACAGAGAAAATTATGAATAAATCAGAAAAAATTAATCAAAACACAGATAAATTTTGATAAATTTTCTAGGGAGCCTAGAAAAATTCTCTGAATCAAATTTTCTCTGGATTGATGTTGAAGGACCTTAGACATTATGAAAATATTAGATATTTTTTATATTATAAAATTTTAATTCTAGGGGCCTTAAAAAAAATCTTTTTATTTTTATAGAATTTAGTATATGCTATTTAATCTAAGGAAAAAGGCAGGATATTTGAACCCGACCCAATTAGGTGAGCTAAAAGAAGAACCGTCCCAATTCAGCCCAAGCAGTCAAATTGGATCTTCACCCGAACTCATAAACCCCAACTCAATCTTTTCGACCCCCATTCGAAAGCAGAGCTCCCTGTACCCCAAAAAAAAATAGCAGAGCTCGCTAGCGGCGGAGGACGACGACGGCGTCGTCTGCGGCGGCGGCGGCGGTGTAGGTAACGACGAGGGCAAAAACGTATTAACTCTCTCTCTAATATACATGTTCATGCTTATGTCCCTTACAGTGAAGGTTTCGCACACCAACTGTTGGCTAAAAAGTATCTATGCATTTTGGAATCTGTCTTTCAAAGTTGGAATCTTTTTAGTAGGAAATGGGTACTTGTGGGTTTGTGCAGTTTGTATTGAATCATTCCTGGTATGAACTTTTGGGGGCTGCTGGGATTGGACGGAGAGATTTCGGGTTCTGATTATTTGTACTCATCGATTGATTGATAAGTTTGTCTTCTGCTTAGATGGATATTTTATGTGGGTTCACAAAATTTATTTATTTATTTTTATTTTGCTTTAATCATAAATATCAAAATTTTACTTTCTTTGTGGATATTTTCCCTTGGTTATGCTTGCTAGGGCTTATGGGTTTTGGAAATTATGCTTGGTGTATGCCAAACTGTTCGAAGGACATAAAAAACACTTGTGTTTGTTTTGAACATGAATTTTTTGTTCAATCTCAATGACCTTGACTTCAGTTTGTTTATTCAGATTACCACAAATTGAAAAAATGCCGCGAAAGCCGAAAAGGCAGTGCCAATTAACAAAACCTCATCCTTTCACGTTCTCCCCATTTGCTCGTGCAGTTGCTCGAGTAGCCAATGCTTATAAGGTCAAGAGCCAGATCCAGAACTCCAAGTTTCATAGAAAATCTTCCCCCAACTCTTCAGGTATCATCTTTTTTTGCAAAATCTTTGCAGGCTTATGTCCTCTCCCCCAGTTTGCAGTGCAACTTCTTGGTTTTACATTTTGGAATGATCATGCTGCAAACACTCTAAATTTTTTTAAAAGTTGATCTCTTGAAAAAGGAAAGGAAAAAAAATTCTAATAGAATGTATAAATTTGTATGTCTAGGTGACAAACTTGGATATCACTCTCTCGCAGATAAGAGTGAACCGTCTGAATCTTCTAATGAAGAAGACTTTGAAGTAAGCATACATAGCTCAATACAATCACATTTATACACTTGCTGCAGGAAGTTCCATTAATTTTTGCTCATTCTTGTTTATTTATATTTGCCTTACAATTCTTATCGAAGTCCATTCTGTGTTTCTGAAGGGAATTGTTCAGGCAGATTTTGCTTTCTTCGATCCAAAACCTGATGACTTCCATGGAGTGAAGGTCCTGCTGCAGACATATCTTGATGATAAGCAATGGGATCTAAGTGGTTTTGTGGACCTAATATTGGGGCAAACCACGGTAGGGACAATTGTTAAAATCGAGGAAGATGAAGATGATACACCTTACTCTGTTGTTACTGCTCTTAACTTGAGAAGATATAAGGCAAGCAACAAACATTTTAAAAGTTACCTATTAGTGCTCCTTAGTTGCTTGGCATTGTCTTTAAAATTGTTGCAATGGTGTTCTTTTATTTATTTATTTATTTTGTTTGGACCAGGATCATATATGCATTAAGGAACTCAAAGAGTTCTTGCTTCAAGTATGCAAGGAGAAGGATTTACTAGACAACTTGAAATTAGTTTTTGGAGAGCAAGCGCAAACTGTAGGGCTCTTGGTCTCTCAGCGTGTTGTTAATCTTCCTCCCCAGCTTTTGCCACCTCTTTATGACGCACTCTTTGATGAAGTCTCATGGGCTACAGAAGATGAGGTTAGATGTGAATACTGTGTGAGATGGATGAGATTGATAGATAATTCTCTCTGTCATTGTCTCTTTTTTCTCTCTGGTAAGTGACATTTTCCCACCTTTTGAAGCCGACAGAGGAGCTCAGGAAGTCATTTTGCTTTAAGCATTATCTATTGGTCACTAGAATCTATGAGGTACTTGCGTGGATTTTACCTGTTCCCATTACACGTTCCCATTTTGATTTATAATTGGTTTCCTTTTCTTTCTTTTGGGTTTCTGATTGAACCTACAGCATAAGAATGCTGGACAGAAAGAAGCAGCAAATAATAGCAGTGAGGAGGCTATAGTATATGTTAAGTCGGAAGATGAAATTTTTTATCAGGTGCCAGTTTATTGCTATACAGAACTTGTACCATGTCCACAATCAATTTCCTGATTAGTTTTTTGGATCCATTTCAGCTCAGTTCATGGTCCTTTAGGTTCCCATTGCGCACTCAGCAGCTTGCATCTCATGAGGTAAGTAGCAGTGATCTCAGCGTGTTGTGATGATTGAACTAACCCACCCTATGCTATAGTTGCATTTTCTGTTCTTTTCTTTTCTTTTTCTTCATGTTTTGTTTTTCTCTTGCTGACAATGTTCTTTAAAATTCTAGCTTTCATAATAATTTTTGCTAGGTAAATAATTTCATTGAAATAAAATAAACTATTAGGGGTTTATCCCAGATCAACTAGCCTTAAGTACTAGTGGACTGAAAAAAACAACAAATCGTGGATATTCTAATTTGAGCATCACGTGTGAGAAGCTCATATAGAAGCTACTTTCAAGATTTTTGTGTAGAAGTTCTGTAACGCCCCAATTTCCTATGCCCAAATGATAACACAACCATCATGGCTCCTTAAAGGAAAACAAAAATAATTTTCCACACTTGCATTACATGATACAATTAATCACTCAATACGATTATAAGTTTAATCCAAAACCAAATAAATTAACAAATAGATACCTCTAAGGGTTTATAAGTTTTCAAGGTTTAGGTTTGGTTACACAAAACGGTTATTCAAACCCACACAAATACAGTCCTTGGCTTACAAAATAGAGTTACGCAAAATGAGAGTACTATACTCCCAACACACATATTTTCACGCCCCTAGTTGGGTAGGATCACTACAACTTTTCCTGCACAAAAATCCCGCAGGGTGAGCGTAAAGCCCAATAGGAAATTCTTAACAAAGTATATACATTTTATACAAGTCTCAAGAGATGAAATGCACATGACATGCTATGCCCTTTTTGAAGATAAATCACATTTTCATCTTTTGAAAACCATCATGCTCAATGATATCATGTAATTTCAATTGTTCAAAACTTAACAATTTATTTCAAGGGCGGTAAATACGACTCGGGTAATCCCTAGGTCGGTGTCTGCAAGTAGACTATACAAGTACTACCAAATTGTCATTTTTACTGGTATTAACCGGAAGGCTCGACACCTATCCGCGCGGCTTTTCGGTCTTTCACCCCGAACTTTCAGGCCAACTTATTCAATATCATTTACACCACCTATCAAGACTTACCAACGTATTTATCTCAAAACCATTCTATGAAAACTTGTTTCTCAACATTCTTTTCTCAATGCAAGTTTTCAAATCAACTTTAAAGTTTAATGTAATCAAATGAATTGATATGCCAATTTCACAAGATGAATATAAATATTTTTATTCCAATTCATCATCCAAGAAATAACACAATTCTCACTTCTTAAGTATCCTCAACAATTAGTCATTTCAAAACTATTTCAACGTTTTGAACAATAATTTCCAAAATGAACAACAATTCTCATATTTCATGAAATTTATCATTTATATAAATATAAATAAGAAAATTTTCAAACATCCATTTATTTTAACACACAAAATAAATATAACAATATCATTCATGGGTTTTCAATCTCTTTTAAAAATTCTCAATTTCTAAGTTTTCTCACCAAAATTATACAATCCAAATCTTTTGAAAGAAAACTTTCTAAAATCATCTTTTCTTCAATCAACGAAGATCAAGACTCATAAGATCATTTTAAAAGAACAAGAGACAAACCCACTTTCAAAATCGCTCAATTTCTTGAATCAACAGTCAATTTTTAAAAGGCTATCAAAGGATGATTTCGAAAATCATCTAGATCTTACAAAAATATATATATATAGCTCAAAGACAATCCCTACCTCAAGTTTGAAGAAGAATAGAGATGAAACCCCAAAATTAACGATACCTAAACTCGATCTTCACCGCACACAACGAAGCCCTCGAGATGATGACCCACTTTGATGAAGAAGCAATGGAAAAACTCAAATGGATCTTGAGAAACCAAGGTTTTGGATCTAGTTTGTGTAGAGAAATGTAGAGAGAAGGGAGAGAAAATGTTTTTAGAGAGAGATATACAAAAGTGATCTGAAATATCATATTCACGAACTGATATAACATGGTCCACTCAAGCGTGAAAAGTCCTGCTCGAGCGTCGAATACACCTTCCCAGTACTTTTGCAGACAGTTTAAACTTCTGGAACCAAACATTCTCTGCTTGAGCGCATAAACGGCCGCCCAAGCGGACAAGCAACTTTGAATGTATTTTGTATTTTTGCTTTGGGGGCGCTGCACCTCGACCCCGCTAGGGCACTGCCCTCGGACCCCCCAAGGGGCGCTGCCCCCTGAACCCTCGCGAGCTGACCGGGCAGTTCGATCCCCGTCATAGTCAGCGAAGTGGCAAAACATGAAAGATACGCTACAACCCGATACAAACATGAGACATTGCCCGTTCCAAACACACTACTAAAACCCGATAACCAAAATAAAGGGAATACAGGGAACTAAAATACGTAACACCGTTCAAAACCATACCAACCTGAGTCCGGAACACCACAAAGAGACGGGTCAAAACCGGGATCGCTACAAGTTCCATCCTAGGCATAGCTGCCAATTAATGAAGTTGGCATATTCTTTTTTATCAAGAGCTACATTGATCTCTAACATCCTCATCCACTTCCCTGACAAAATAGACTGAATTTGACTTATTTTGAGAGAAAAATTCTATAGTTTCTCTCCTCCTGGTGGGTAGTTGGTGCAGACAGAAAAGAAATTGGATGAAGATTAGGAAATTATATTATTATTATTATTTTCTTATTTATAATTTAAGCAATTTTACTGTTTTATTTTTAGTATTTAATTAAGGTAGTTTTTATTTTGGAAACTCTTTATTAGTTTTCTTTTTTTCTTTCTTGGAGGTTTAATTTGGAAATTATTAATTATGTTTTTTGGATGCCTATAAATAGGCCGGTATGTATTTAGGGTTATTCAGCTTGGATTATGAAATTGCGATATTGAGATTGAGATTTTAGGGTTTATTTTAATTTCTTGGGCGTGGTTTTCGTTTTTCTCTGCATTTGTTTTCTTCTGGTTAGCCATCCTACATCAAATGTAATGTCAGATCTTTATTCATGATCCAAGTGGTAACACTGTGATTGAGCCCAACAAATCCTCACAACTTTGTGTCCAGAACTAGTGCCATCATCGTCACACAGATTTCGTCTTCGTCTTTGTCAAACCAGTACACCTTCGACAACGAACCTTCTTGTTCTCATCTGCTGACAAAGCAAAAGACCACCCGGTGTTCTGTGACATCACAGGAATGCATCATCATCAGCAATCCATCAACGGAAGTTGTCGTTCTCACCATCGGCAGAAAGCGAGATCATCTTCACTGGCAGCATGGACCATATTAAACCTAGTCATTGTTGACAACTGCAGCCAGCCCGTACATCAATCAACGTTGTCATCGACAAAAAGCTTGGCCTTGTGTCTTAGGTCTTCATCGTTTCTCGCTGGAGCATGCTCGACCGTCTTGCCTTAGCCTCATCAATGAGAGCACAAACTGTTGTGCAAAACTTTTGGGGAAGATGACCAATAGAGTTAATAGAACCCTTAGACTTGACCCAATCCAGTAGCCCTTAACTTAAGCTCAATTCTTTAACCTCTAGGCCATAACCCAATTACTCTTATACCCAGCCCATTATCCTCACCAGGCACATAAACATGTAAATAAGCCCAAACTGAACCCAGCTCACTCCTTTTCCCTAACCCATAAATTAGGCCATTAACAAGCCCAACCCTTTAATTCTATTTCCATTGTCCAAGCCCATTAAACCCAACAATGTCAACCCAGCCCAAGCACTTCCTACCCAAGTTCAACCAAATTTTTACAACCCAAGTGTTAGCTACCGGCTTCTTAGCCAACCCAATTCCAGCACTTATTTAACCCACAACCGTTAGACCAGCCCACAACAGCTCATTAAACCTCATACCAACAATACTTGATCCATATTGGATGAAGATTAGGAAACCAAATCAAACCAAATCTTAAGTCCCATCAAATGTGGTCGGCTATATAAATCATTTTTCTCCAGTCGACTCTATTGAAGGCCATTTCGTTAGTCAAATTATTCATATCTCTATTTACTACACTAGTCTACGTCAATTTAGGTCCATCCTTTTCCCTAACACTACCATTTACCGTCACTGTATCGCATCTGTTCACTATTGCCTATGTTGGTCTCCGGTGTATATAACCAAACATCTCAATCTATTCTTACTCAATTTATCCTCTATCAATATTACTCCTACCCATTTTCGAATATACTCATTCCTATTGTATGAAGATTAGGAAATTAAAACAAAAATAAATGTAGTAAAAAACAAAAAAATGACAACCAAAGAAATTAAGTAAATCCTGAAGCCTCAATACTCAATATCTCAATTTCATAAGCCAAGCTGAATAACCCTAATAAATAACTACGTATAGGATTCTGAAAAACCCTAATTAAGAGTTTCCAAAATGAAAACTACCTTAAATACTAAATAAAACAGTAAAATCTGTTAAATTATAAATATGAAAATGACAATAAGATAATTTCCTAACCTTCAATCAATTCCTTTTGTGTCCGTATCATTTCTCCTTAGATGAAAAAAAAGAAAAAAAAAACTACTCTCATCTGTTGAGTTACAAGAGTTGAAGACATCCAAGGAATGAAACTCATCATGAGAACAATACTTCGACCCTTAATGCCATCCACTATAAGGTATCCACCACAGGGATGACAAGAAGTAATTATGGAAGCTGGCTGTAGAAAGCATCAACTCCTGGAGAGTCCTCAAACAAAACATGAGGATGTAAGGTGCTGTGATAAAGTAGTACCTTATTCTCCATATGAAATACCAAATTAACAAAATTAATGGACTGAGGAGGGAAATACCAAACTAACTGAATTAGAGGTGTCAAGTCATGCTATTATCGAGTAGGGGTGGCTAGGGAGAGATTGAGGTCTTGAGTAGAACTCAACTCTAAAAGATAGCTTCTGAAGTGAGGTTGTCCTCATGCTGATACAATGTACATCCCCTTTGTACCTACTACCTAGACAATGTGGAACTCTTCATAGAGATACCTTGGCTTGACCTAGTGGTATTCTTTGGGGTGGAGGGGGCACTTTGCGTGTGCTTCTTTCAAGTCTCAGGTTTAACTCTTACTAGGCGCTATCAACTCCTTAGGGCCACGCCCGCAGGCTCTGCCCTAGATTTGGCGGATCCACGTGGAGGGGATACTTTGCGTGGGTCTCGGGATTAGTCGAGGTGCGCGTAAACTAATTTGGACACTCAGTCATAAAAATATATATATATAGAGTTTGTAAACTGCACTTTTAAAATTATTCTTCTAAGAATTCTGGACAGCCCATTGCAACTCACTCCTTCATTGTTGGTCTTCAACGATTCCTGTCCACAGACGAAGGGAAAATCATTCCTGTTCATAATGGCTTCCTGAAAAGAAGCAGAATATTGGCACTCAAAACAAGTTCTGCTGAGATTTGTCTTCTTGGTTGCAAAATAGACAAGTTGTATCAATCCCCATGTGCAATTCCTTAAATCAATTCTTTGTGGCCAGTCTTTCATGGCGCAGCAACCATAAAATAAAGGCACACTTCAAAATATTCTGTGGGACATGTTAAAGCATTCTGTTTCTTCCTTATTTACTCATGGTCATGGCTGGGGGCTGGGGTGTTACCCTAGTAGCTTGCATATTGTGTCTCTAATTCGATGTGTTATCATTCAAACTGGGATGTAATTTTCTATTATTTTTCCTTTGTTCTTTTATATTTCTTTTTAACATTCTTTTTTCTTTGTGGTGGGTGGAGGGTTGAGCGTTTTGGGCTATATATATGCTAGGTGTTTCAAATGGTGCTCTTCGTAGTCTGTATCTACCCTCCAGGTGTGTTATGAATAAGATAATACCTGGTTGGTCACTTCTTGAAAAGCTACTTTCACTTTGGCCTTGCTTTCTTTATTTTGGACAGGAGGAACCAAATAATTCTTTAAAATAAAATTAGAAAACAAAATTATGAGAAGAATTTAGTTGCTTTGCTTACTGTGACCTTCGCTGGCTGTAATATTTATCTTTCATGCTTTGTGGTTTCGTAATTCTTTTACTTCTCGTTACCATCAAGTCTTGTTTCTAATTGATGGTATTGAAGTTGCTATGCTTTTGTAGGATGGAGCACTATAATATTACATTGTTCTGTGCCTTCGTTTTTTGGAGTCACGGTTTGTTTAACACAATTATGTTTCTTGCTTGTTTGGTTGATAATAACAATTGCAGCTAAGGAATTACCGGTTAATGGGTTTAGTCATGGCTTTAGAAGCAGAAAAAGTTTTGACATTTCGACAACAGTTGCATTCTTTGATAAATGAATCATGATGCCATCAAAAGGTGCATAAGTAGTCAGTTTGTTTTCTTCTGACATTTCTGCAATAATTTGTCAATTTCAGCTCATCGTCATGTTCTTAGTCGAACTCGTGTTTTGCAGGTCTAAGAATTTCAATTTTCGATATACACTTCACTGGTATTGCTAGCATGGCAGAGGTGGATTCATCTGATTCAGAACCTGCCTGATCTTTTTGCGGGTATTTCAGTAATGATCATGGAGTAGGCCTGTAATTTGTAGTGGATAATGCATATTTAGCTATATGGGCTTGAGAATTATTTTGTCAATTAGGCTGGATGGCAGAAATTTTATTTTCCTCTTCTTTCTTTTATTCAATTCCATCTTGGATTGTTTAAACTATCAGATTTATTTTCCTCATTTTGTTTTAATGTTATTCAATTATGAGGTAGAGATATTAATATTTGGGGCCAAGTTGCATGTCTATCTGGTTGAACTAATGTGACATGGCAGTGTGGTGTAGTTTATCTGAGTTGTTTATAGCTTATTTTATTTCGAAAGTTTGTAGTAGACTCTTTGGTACAATTTTTGCTTATAATTTATTAGGCAGAAATGGCTTAAATAAGTTGAAAAAAACTAATTATCTGGAAACGGCCTCGTTAAGTTAAAAAGTCACTAAAAAAAAATCAAAAAACCAATAATCTATACAAAAAAATTAAAGTTTTTTTTTTTACTTTACTTTTTGCACATCTTTTCGTAAAAAATTATTCAAAACATATTAATTTTTTTTACATCATATTTTAATTAAAAAATTAAAAAGTTACTAAAAAAGTCTATTTCCAAACGAGACCGGAAATGAGTGCTTTTAGTTTTTGCTTTATCATTATTAACTTTTAAGTTACAATAAGTTGCCCCAAACAGACCTGCAATCTTATGTTTTTTTGTGTATTTCACTTGAAATTACGTTTTATTCAAAAACAAAGAATGAACAATCTAATCTATAATGGAGTCATTTTTTTTCGCAATCATAAAATGGTAATGGAGTCATTTGGTGATCAGAGAGTGAAGGGCCCATTGAAGTAATAGGTCCAAAGATGAGTGTTGATACATATGCTTTTTACTGTTTAGGGTTTAGGGTTAGGTTGAAGAAAACACCCTTTTATCAATTTGTTGAGAGTTCGGTTAAAAATTGGGTGAAGATTTTCAACATGTTTATGAAGTAACATGAATGTTTGAAAACATAAGCAAAGTATTTTATCCCCTCTTTTGTTCAAGGCAAATAGTTATTGCTCGGTGTGTTCCAACTGTAAAATAGTGCAGATGCTTCTTTATTGCCATTTTGAGCTTTCTTACCCACTCATTTTTCATAAACTTAGTGTGGTGAAAGAGAGATAAAAGTAAGCCAAACAAACATGGTGTCCTTTTTAGCATCTTGTAAAGCAATGCTATATACATACTAGCTATTAGTGAGAGATGCAGAGAGTCTTCGACAATATTGATGCTACTTTCTTTGTCAAATCATCTTTTGCTCACAAGAAGTGAAAAAAGCATAGACATTTTCACATGGGATAGTGGTGAATAGAGGTGCAACGCGGAATTGACTCAACTCAAGTAATTTGAGGTTAATTTTGAAAGATTTAGGTTGTGTTTGGTAGGATTTTTAAATATGATTTGAGAATAGAATTGTATTTTGAGTTTGTGAGTTTTGGAATTATGATTTGAGTGTAGAAAATTTGTTTGGTGAATGAGTTTTGAAAAGAGTTTTGAATTGAGTGGGGAATTTTTGATACGACATATGATATTTGATACAAAAATTTACAACTCAACCAAATACACAACTCAAAATTTCATTAAAGCTCACAATTTTTTTTTAAAAATTTGGAAAATATTTTTTATTGAATATATAAAAATTAACATGTGTCAATTGCCAAAAAAAAAAAATTTGCACTATTCCGGTCAACTAGCCGAACGATCGGTGGGACAACCGGTTAGTCTAAATTTTTCCGCCTTTGACCGCATTTTCAAAAGTGAGTGGAATTAATTTTTAAAAATCGTAAACATTAACGTTCTAAAGCTCCACCAAACAGAGCCTTAAAATTTTTAGATAATATAATTTCAAATTTGATTTGGGAATGGGCTAAATTATGTCTGTTCAAATTAAATTCATAGAGGTTGAGTGAAGGTTCTCACAATTCGAAATCTTTTATTAATATGTTATAAATTATTGATAATTTTTTTACCATTTGGATTAAATTATATTACAATGTAATATATTTTACTGCTTGGTACACAATTCAAACTAATTTTCATATTATGTTTCATGTATGCATTTTGTGAGATTTTTTTTTTTTTCCATCAAAAAGTTTGATACATTTGTTTAGAATAATTAAAGATAATATATATATATATATATATTTGAATTTGAGCAACCTGAGCCTAACCCAAATTCTTTGAATTAAACTTAGGCCCTTACGCTGTGTTTGGTTGGGGGATTTGGGAAGGAAAATGGAAATGAAAGGAAAAGGAGAAAGAATTAATAGAATTCCAAATCCCAACTATGTTTGGTTGTGTTGGTTATAAAATAGAATTGATGTCCTAAAAGGTATCCTATTTCTTTATTTATTTCTCACCCCCTTTCTTTTCCCATATATTTTTTATTATAACCAAACATAAATAGAATTACATTTCTCATTCCTTTTCCAAATCCCACCTCAAAAACTCCAACCAAACACAGCATTAGTTTCAGCCTTGGACAAATCCCGCTAATAATCTAAGCAAACCCACCCAAATTGCAACCCTGGTGGGAAATGGACATAGCAAGAACTATTAGTTTTCTTGGTACCAAGAGGGGAAAGAGCAGAAGAGCAAGCATGCTATTACACACAATGAAAATAGAGATGAATATAAAAATGATTTGTATGTGTTCACATGTAGCACACATCATAAGAATTTAATTAGAGCACTCTCTTATTAATACTAGAATCTGCAATCTTTAGATGTAAGTGACATTTAATTTTATTTCTATTTTGAACAAAGTGATTTTGTCTTTGTCCATTGATAGGATAAAGATTTCTTATTAGTTCTTTCAATGTGAACATCTTAAATGTAAATTTTCTTGTTTCAACACATATAGTAAATGTAAACTAAGTACAATTATTGGAAAACCCATTTTTAAAGTAAAGTTTCATGTTTCAAGACTTATAGTAATTGTAAACTATGTACAATTATTGGAAACTTATTTAAGTTAATTTGACTTGCCAAATTATTTTGCAAATACAAATTTCATACAAAACTTTCCACAAGAACGATGTGGTAGTAGCATTTTTTAAAATTATAATTTTTGCTTTGAAATGAATGAATACACATCTATTATCTTATTCTGTATGAATTTTCTATTTGTATATTATTGCTTTTTCTTTTAACATAGTATTTCTAACCTTCTATTTCCTTCTAGTTCCATTTGAGTGAAAAGTAACGGAGCAACATATAATCCCCCTTTCTCATCTAAAAGTATAACAAAAGGAAGATGAATGTGCACCATTCTTGCGAAACTCGCTATAAAGATGTCAAAGAAGCATGAATTCATTCCACCAGTGTTAGTTAAGGACATTACACAATACATCATTAACACGTGAAGAAGTTTTAGCGTTATCTGATCTCTGAAATTTTTGCATTAAAGTAAAACCATCGACAAAAAATAACATGCACCAAATGATGCAAGCATAATTATTTTGGTTGTTTTTATGAACGGTTTGTGAATAAGCCAGACACATTTTCCGCATCAAAATTGCACATACGACAAAACTAGGAAGAAATTTGATTTATTGAAGAAAGAGATTTTTTTTTTTGCACTCGGGTAATTTATACAAAAAGATTACGTAATTATAGTAGTCTATTTCTAGCATTGAGAAATTTTTCTTAAAATGGGAACAAAGGAAATTACATCAAAATTATTGAGTTTTGCTAGGTTGAAATGCTGCACCATAATTAACCAGGTTTCTAGCAAGCATATGGATATAGGCCTAATTTCATTGGCATTAAATGGACTTGATAGCCCAATAAACCTCATATGCCTCTGTTTGGCAAGTTGATTTTCAGGCTTTTTTGGCTATTTTAGTCACAAAAAATAAAATAGGCTATTTTAGCCATAACAAACAAAACATCACATCCAACCTATAATCATTACATTCTTCTCTCGTAAAAAAAGTCAAAAAAATCAAAAAGCCAAAAAGACCTTCCCAAACCAAACTTTTTAGCCCAGGCTAAAATAGCCAAAAAAGCTAAAAAGTCAAAAAATCAATATAGCTTATCTAATGAGGTCTGCAGTCCCAAAATCAAGATGATCACCTTTTGCCGTGTCATGACAAATAATAATAATAAAAGTAAACTAATTCAAGACATAAAAAAAAATAAATTTTTTTTTTGATTCTTCACATTATTTATAGATTTTTATTTATTTATTTAGGAATCAGTGTTAAACTGCTTGGTGTAATTTCTATTTACAACTTGGTAGATAAAAATAATTCAAATTAATTAGGAAAAAGTTGATTATTTAGAAATTAAGAAATGTATAGTTTTAATTTTTTACTTTTTTTCCATCAATTTTTAACTGATGATAAATTGAACCAAACAAACTTGCTGTAGTGTATGGTATGACAGGACAGGGGGGTGGTGTATGTACACAATCACATGGAGAGGGCCATAGGCATGTGGGGATTGTTGAGTATAGCCAAATGTTGCAACAAGAAAAAAATAAGTGTCCACCATCCATTTCCCACTGCCCCCCTCCTAAGGGCATATCTGCTTTTTAAGGGACACCTCAATCAACCAATGTTACCCTTAACATGGTATCCAACATTAATATGCAACAAAGTGTTTTTCATCCTTTTTATTAGAAAGTAATGAAAAAATAAAAAACAGGGACACATGAAGCACATGCTAGGGGGGTTAGTACTCCCTGTCCTTTGTGGCCCCAACCATTCCCTTGCAGGAGATTGATCTATCAAAAAGAGAGATTATGAAATGGGTGATGGACAATAGTATTATCTTAAAGCATAAAAAATAAATACAAATTAACAGAATGTTTTGCCATTTTAGCAATGCAAACTTTTCTCGTGATTGATGCCAAAATGACAGTGCCAAGATCAAATTTTGCCGTGTTATTGTGTTAAAATGTTATAATTTAGTAACCAGTAGCGGAACCAAAAAATTAAATCAGAGAGGACATTTATTAATTATAACATTGAAAATTTTTATAAAATATTTCATATAAATTTTTACGATTGGTTTCAAGAAATATATATATATACAAATAATATATATATATATATATATATATATATATATATTATTTGTAATTAGTATATCATGGACAATATATAAAAAAAAATCATAGATATAAGTTTAAAATAAATTATATAATGATAAAATAATTTTTTATACAAAATTTCAATAAAAATTCAATATGAAATGAATTTGTGGACCGCAACATGATAGAGGTAGAGAGAGAGTTTTGCCAAATTTTAACAATTAGGAAGAAATTTTTTAGAAGT